CAGTAAAAGGGGAAACGTGCAGTTAAATGTTTGGCCTCATATACGAGTCGTCTGCCTCGTTTACCAAGAAATCACGACTTCAGTAGAGCCGCATCCGTGATTGAAAGTGTAGTGTTTACTTTTTCAGTCACAGTCTTAAACGTTACAGTGTTAAACCAGGATATTATGTCTGGAAATTTTATTACAGGAACTGTTGAACATGGGGTACTCAAGTATTGCTACTGGAAGTGGAATTATGTTTGTGATTTAAGTTTCGTCGGTGACAGCGCATTCCGTAACACAGAAACGACATAGACTAATTACAAAACAAATAACAAAATCTGTTAATTTCTTACATGTTTTTACGAACAGTCGGTAATCACATTCCTTGGAAGGCATTACGATGTCTGCCTTCAGTCTCTGCTGTGTCTGAGAACACATGTAAAAACATGGCGTGTGTGATGAATCACTCTGCTCATCAGGCAACGCGTGACTCGTGACATTCATAACACTGAAGGGTGCACTGCGAGAGAACGCCATTGAACTTGCTCCGTCGCCTTCCTGTTCGCCACCATCTTTCTCGGTAAGCCATACCTGTTAAAAGACAGGAGAACTAAGTGCGCTAAGGTAACCTGCGATCAGGCGTTCTTATTTTCCATCGCCAAGAACAGTAAGACCACCTGAGCGCATGTCACTTCTTTTGTGGCATTCCGTACTTTACATTTATACCATGCCATACAAAATACAGCCAATCAGAATACAGGAAAGCCGTTTTACATTCGACGGTATAACACCCAACCTTCCTATTGTGCGTCACGCGTATGTCGCATTGATTATGTTTGCCACTATTGCATGGTATAAGATAGATATGTAACGCTCTCTCGTGGTATTCCATGGAATATCCCACGAGTCTCTCGTAATTTCTTGATATACGCACTCGCCTAAATGCTCATGTAAACCAAGTGTCTCGTGGGATATTCCACAGTATACCACGTGAGAGAGTTGCATAACTAGCATCTGATGCACCACAAACCAGCACACAGAACGGTATTCAAAAACAAAAAAATAACGTTGCCACCATGGTAATAACCTCAGATCCAGGTTTCTCTCCTGCATGAGTAAAGCAGGAGCTCCATATGTTTGTTCTTTACCAAACACTAAGCAGCTTTGTCACCCAACTCTTTCACCCAGTTAACATTTAGATTATTGTAGAAAGTCGATTTCTGGGTGCCGATCTGAGTACATACAGGTTGTGTTCACACTTGCTGTCCAGTAACACGTTGGCCTATAGTATTAATGTAGCCCCCCTCCCTCCATCCTGCTTCTCAAGGGTTGTCCAATACACCCGAAGGATTCCTTTCCCTGATGTTTTAACTTGGGTCTACAGTTGATCTGCACCTCTAAATTTAAAACCTCTATTTTAATTCGTTCGTGTTAATCTGCACCTCTTTTTCTTAGGGCTGGGGAATTATTTGTGTTGTTTACCTATTGTTCCGTTTGGTCAAATTTACTAAAAAGAACCTTGTAAACGGTGCAGGTCCGGCCCCTGGGTCTCAACAGCTGGGTACAAATGTTTTTATGTAATAGCCCAATTCTCCCCAATGCATTCTGACAAATTATTTCTCCTCAGTTAACAAATACGATGAAATAAAAAAGCTTACCTTGACACGAACATATCGACAAGTAGGAGTGTAGAAGGTGAAGTCGTATCTTACTTCTTCTTTAGCTGCACGGGATTCCAGACTCTCTTCAATGTGTTCAACTTCTATTTTTTCTAATCCTCCTTTAAATTTTGACTTCCAACCGAACTTTTGGTTTTCAACTTTTTGTTTGATTTCCTCAAGAGTAAAATATTCCTCTTCCAGGTCAGCTGAAACAATAAAAAAGGAAATATTTCATCTGGACTGCCTCTTTAGTTATACGGAAGAAGCTCTCCCATAACGCCACGCGCACTCAGTACGACCGAGAAGGAGGCCTGGAGGAGAGGCAACCACGAGAACATTCAATGTGGTTCATAGCCAGCGTAAAAGCCAAAATTGAATTGTTTTCGTGAAGCAGAGACAAACATTGCAAACGTATACTATTATCGCTGTGTTCGTTTCACTCTACAGATAATCCTACAATTTTTATGTCCATCGAAATGGAGACAAACCGCTGTCTTTTAGGACTAACAATAGGCACAAACAAAAAAATCTTTCACTCACCTTCATAGATCTTAGTTATGTAGGCGTGGCCAAAGTGACACCATATGTCTACTATGACCCTTTCTTCTTCCTTTTCTTTTTGAATGTTTTTTAGCACCATGAGGAGTTTATCTCTCAATTTTTCCATGCCCGAGAAGTCATCCTGCCTATTCTGTTCAATTAATATTTTGATAGTGAGTACGCGTATGAATTGTTTTTCCACAAACCTCTTTACAACTTAAAGGCTTTCGCTTCTCCCATCATGCACATAAAATCAAGGTCTGCTTTAAGAAATGACAGAAATTGCAGTAGCTAGTCAAATGGTTAATTATTGTGTTGTATTTTTGCATTTTTGGGCATGCGCAAGACACTTTTTCCACCTAGGTGTAAACAGCGATACCAGCGAACTTAATGCTGGGGGTAACCCTGCGATGAACTAGCATCCCATCCAGCGGGGAGTAGAAATACTCCTAGTCGCTTCATGCTAACCACAAGTTCCAGTAACAAGCGGACAAAAACTTTGTACCGAGGTTATTTACATTGTATTGCAAAGTTCTGTGCGACTGTTTTAAATATCGTCTCAAAAGAAAGCATTTCTAAGAACACCAAATGTCGAAAACAAATTTTGAAATTCATATGAAACACTTGAAATGGTGAAATGAATGGCGTACTGGTGAAATGAAACTGATGATGAAATTTTGCCTGTGATTGCACAATTTTTCTGAACTTTGAGATTTATTTTCTTGCATTCCCATGGGAAATGCTTTTGGCGTTATTTCAGGCAACTATTTTATAATATTAATTCTCAACGAACACTAAGATCGTCTTCTCAACACCTTCTGGCGACCCCGAAAGCGAGACTACAGGCATCTAGTGAGAGAACGTTTGCTATGGCGGCACCAAGACTATGGAACTCAATCCCACTCGAGCTACAAGCTTTTCAATTCTTTTAATTTTAGATGATAAATGTTTAAATAACTTAGAATTTTAACTAAGTTTACTGCGACCTATTATTTGTTTTTCTTTTTTCCCTTTCTTTTAGCTTTTTAATAATTTTTAATGTAAAGCGTCCTGGACAATTAATGGATTTGGCGCTATACAAATACTTTTATTGTTATTTAGTATTATTTATTTATATCTTAAGCTTTTAGAAAATGCCAAAGGACTGTAATACGCTTAAAGTTATTCTGGTACAAGGTTTTTGTCCATTTAAAACTGAAATTGCTCTTTACCTGCATATCTTGTGAAGGCTGCCCTGATGGTTTCACTTCATAGATCGTTTCGCTAGAGTCGCCGTCATCAGGAGGTTGTACACTAGACAGCTTAAATTCGCTTTCCGGGTCCAACTGGGTCGTATCCACATGAACAAGCCGCACTGTGCGTTTATCTGACTGTGAATGTCTCATCGAATTGACGTACTGAGAAAAATAAAAACGATTTTAAGTGTCTGAAGGATTAGTGCGGACCACTTGGAAAACGTTTTAATCAATTCATATTTAATATTCAGAAAAATTCAGGAATATTAATTTTTATGAGGGAACATAGTTTTACCAGAAACGTTTGGTGATTATTAGAAATATTCTCTCAAAACAGTCACGATGTTCAGGTCTTACCACGGTTTCATTTATTTCCCGAATAGCTCTCTTTTGACTCTCAATAGAGCCTTTGATATAGAGCGAGCTATTAGAACCTTTTCTGTAGACTTTCAATATTGCCCCTGTATTTTGTTCTATGTCTTTCAAGTGCTCGCGGTTTCTTCCAATGACTGCACCCATATGTATCTCGGGTATGAAGTCCAACTTTTTCCATGCGCCTTGATCAGGGCTGTCTTCTCCCTAACCAAATATCAACAAAAAAGCAGGAACATATGAATGAAGCTCGGAAAAGACGGAATCAGGGGGAGGGAGATAGGAAGGAAGTGAGGAAGGACGAAAGGAGGGAGGGAGGGAGGAAGGAAGGAAGAAAAAATGAGGGAAGAAATCAGGGAGGGAGGGAGATAAGGAGGAGGCGTGAACGAGAAAGGCAATGAAGGGGAGGAGGAGGGGGGAAGGAAGGAAGGAAGGAAGGAAAGAAGGAAGGGAGGGAGGGAGGAAGGAAGGAGGTAAGGAAGAAAAGAAGGAAAGAAGGACGGAAGGAAGGAAAAAAGGAAGGAAGGAAGGAAAGAAGGACGGAAAGAAGGAAGGAAGGAAGGAAGGAAAGAAGGACAGAAGGAAGCAAGGAAAGAAGGACGGAAGGAAGGAAGAAAGGAAGGAAGGAGGGAAGGGAGAAAGGAAGGAAAGAAGGAAGGAAGGAAGGAAGGAAGGAAGGAAGGAAGGAAGGAAGGAAGGAAGGAAGGAAGGGAGGAACAAATGAAGGAAGGAAGGGAAGGAGGGAGGGAGGAACAACTACAGAAGAAGGANGAACATTCAATGTGGTTCATAGCCAGCGTAAAAGCCAAAATTGAATTGTTTTCGTAAAGCAAAGGCAAACATTGCAAACGGATACTATGAACGCTGTGCTCATTTCACTCTACAGATAATCCTACAACTTGTATGTCCATCGAAATGGAGACAAACCGCTGTCTTTTAGGACTACCATAGGCACAAACAAAAAATCTTTCACTCACCTTCATCGACCTTAGTTATGTAGGCGTGGCCGAAGTGACACCATATGTCTACTATGACCCTTTCTTCTTCCTTTTCTTTTTGAATGTTTTTTAGCACCATGAGGAGTTTATCTCTCAATTTTTCCATGCCAGTGAAGTCATCCTGCCTATTCTGTTCAATTAATATTTTGATAGTGAGCACGCGTATGAATTGCTGGTTTTCAGTGTCACGCCATTCAAAATACATCAAAATAAAAATCAAAACCGTTCAATAGACAAAGTCCAGAATCTGGAAAATAAAAGAAGGTAAATATGCAAAAACTCTCGCTAAGACTCTGGTCCCAGCAATTTTTCTTATGCAAGATATGCGGAGAAATTTTTTATCAAATTTATGGAGATTTGTATGGAGACGCCATGCCGGGTGCCCATCCGTATGGGCACCAACATGGCGGCCGGAAACCAACAGAAACATCTGTCACTGAGTTTTACTACAAAAGCGTGAATTTATCTCTCGAGGAAATCTAAAACATTAAAATAATCCTTTTTCTAAGACATGAACTGCTTAGATAACCAAATTCCCTGAAATAAGTCACTTTGTTAACCATCATGATTGCTCTCTAGGCCGTCATGTAAATGCCGCGTCACGCAAAAGCATAGAAATTCAAGCGTAGTGTATCACAAAACCAAAAACCTATTCGGAGCGAAAATTTTTATGAATATTAGTTTTCAGCTGCCCTTATACATCATTAAAGTAAAATCTCAGGAACATCAATAGTTTTGTAGTTTGAATTTTAGTGACGTCGTGTGAAAACCCGGCTATTGTTATTCCACAAACTCCTTTAAGCTTTCGCTTCTCGCGTCATGTACATAAAATCAAGGTCTGCTTTAAGAATGACAGAAATTGCAGTAGCTAGTCAAACATTCCCGTCCCCAGAGCCTCCGTTTCTTTTGGTCACGTGGTCGGCGAAACGTCAAACGATATTTTAAGACGAGAAGCACTAGGGAGGAGAATGCCAGTCAAAAGGTTAGTTATTGTGTTGTATTTTGCATTTCTGGGCATGCGCAGAACACGCTTTCCACGCCAGTTATCCTAGGGATAACCCTGGGATGGACTATGGGATGGACTAGCATCCCATCCAGGGGATAAAAATACTCTTAGTCGCTTCGTGCTAATCCACCACAAGTTCGAGTAACAAGCGCACAAAAACTTTGTATCGAGGTTATTTACATTAATTGTATTGAAGTTCTTAACGACTGTTTTCAATATCTTCTCAAAAAGAAATAATTTCTAACAACACCAAATGTCGAAAACAAATTTTAAAGCTCATATTAAAATACTGGTGAAATGAAACTGATGATGAAATTTTACCTGTGATTGCACAATTTCTCTGAACTTTGAGAACTATTTTCCTCAGTTCCCATGGGAAATGTCTTTCGCGCTATTTCAGGCAACTATTTTATAATATTAATTCTCAACATACACTAAGATCGTCTTCTCAACACCTTCTGGCAATCCCGAAAGCGAGATTAAAGGCATCTGGCGAGAGAACGTTTGCTATGGCGGCACCAAGACTATGGAACTCAATCCCACTCGAGCTACAAGCTTTTCAATTCTTTTAATATTTAAATGATAAATATGTTTAAATATTTTACAATTTTTGCTAAGTTTATTCCGACCTATTATTTTTTTCCTTTTTTCTCCTTACTTTTAGCTTTTTAATAATTTTCAATGTAAAGCGTCCTGGACAATTATTGGATTTGGCATTATACAAATGCTTTTATTGTTATTTACTATTATTTATTTATATCTTAAGCTTTTAGAAAATGCACAAAGGACTGTAATATACTTATAAGTTATTCTGGTGTAAGGTTTTTGGCCATTTAAAACTGAAATTGCTCTTTACCTGCATATCTTGTGAAGGTTGCTCTGATGGTTTCACTTCATAGATCGTTTCGCCAGAGTCGTCGTCATCAGGAGGTTGTACGATGGACAGCTTAAATTCGTGTTCCAGATCCAACTGGGTCGTATCCACGTGAACAAGCCGCACTCTGCGTTTATTTGACTGTGAGTGTCTCATCGAATTGACGTGCTGAGAAAAAAAACAATTGCAAGTGTCAGAGTGGCAGGTTAGGGCGGACCACTGAGAAAACGTTCTGATCAGTTCATGTTTAATTCTCGGAACAATTCAGGAATATTATTTTTATGAAGCGGATATAGTTTTACCAGATTTGGTGATTATTAGAAATATTCTCTCAATACAGTCACGATGCTCAGGTCTTACCACGGTTTCATTTATTTCCCGAATAGCTCTCTTTTGACTCTCAATAGAGCCCTTGATATAGAGCGAGCTATTAGAACCTTTTCTGTAGACTTTCAATATTGCCCCGGTTTTTTGTTCTATGTCGTTCAAATGCTCGCGGTTTCTTCCAATGACTGCACCCATATATATCTCGGGTATAAAGTCCAACTTTTTCCAAGAGCCTTGATCAGGGCTGTCTTCTCCCTAAACAAATATCAACAAAAAGCAGGAACATATGAATGAAGCTCGGAAAAGATGGAATCAAGAAAAGGGAGATAGGAATGAAGTGAGGAAGGGACGAAAGGAGGAAGGAAGGAAGGAAGGAAGGAAGGAAGGAGGGAGGGAGGGAGGGAAGGAAGGAAGGAAGGAAGGATGGAAGGAAGGGAAGAAGGCAGGCAGGCAGGCAGGCAGGCAGGC